GTGTGTGTGTGTGTGTGTGTGTGTGTGTGTGTGTGTGTGTTTATATATTTATTTATTTATTTGTGTAAAATATAAATATTTTTATACATTTAGGTTATTGACAATAAGGAATGTTCGGAGAAGGGAGGAAGCGACTCAGGCCGTGATTGGAAACCATCCCAGAGAGTATCCTTAGAAAACGACTCAATGATTTCAAATTCTTCTGCAATCTCGTTCTCAGGGCTAAAGTAACGTCGTTCGATTCTGAACGTGTGTTCGATTAACTTGGGAAACTGATGGATTATAGCGACGATCTCTTGATTGAATAAGAAAGAGGGCGATGTGAGAGTGCGAATGTGACCATACACCAGAGCGTCGACTTCAGTAGGACTTATGGAACATGATTGTAGTCAAACAATAGGATCAAGAGAAGTGAAAAGTTACAAATAGGATTACTCACTCTTTTCCAAAGAAAAATTCTTCATCCGCTAGCCTTTCAGACAATGCTATGCAACATTTTTTTACATCATCAAAGACTTCATCCAAGCTTTTGTTATACCAGCCGAGTACGCTGAGCCTTTTTATGACTTCCCGTCTCTTCTGCCAGTTTAGATAATGATTGAGTGGCCAAGGGTACACGCTTCCGTGTCTAGCCTTTGTGACTGTGTTCAAAATCGCTGGGTCTACCCAGCAGATGTATAGTTCTGCATTGACAAATACATTGTTGACAAGAGACTGATAAGCTCTCATGTCTACCTTGCCAGCAGGATCCAAATGATCGGATAGGCTTATTCCTTTACTCCCTATGTGTGCCACTATACCATCAAACTCGGATATCAGTTTCGTTCCACACTTAATAAAAGGTACGCGGCCTGATGGTGACATAAATTCCGCATTCTTCCTCGGCTCTATCTGAAAGTCCAGCTGGCACATCTTGAGGAAAGCCTGCACCGCCAGACAGTTGGCATTGTCAGGAAGCAGGATCTGCTCCACTTCGTATGGCTGGTATAGGGTGATCGGTTGCGGCCATGGCTCCTGAGCTGCGGCAAGAAAAGTACACGATCGTCAACGATGATGTGCTGGATAGGCTCGACCTCATTCTTGCGTGCATCTAACGTAACGCACTTACATAATCGGTACTCGCGTACGCGACACGTGGAAGATTCGCGTACGACATGGAGGAAGAAAAAGTCGTGAGGTAACTGAAAGGCATTCGTGTTGAGAAGACGAGCCTTTCAGTCCTCACGACATCCCTCGAATCCCGACGTAAACGAAAGTAACGCGCGGTTTTTTGTTTACAAAAACGTAAGGTTAGGGTCACGCGTACGAAGTAATGCGAGAGCGAAATCGACAACGCGACTCCTAAACGTGTTTACCTTCTAACTCCACCGCGATCGAGTCGCTCAGCAGTACGTGCGGCATGTCTACAATCGCACTTGTACTATGATGATGAGGACGACAACGACGGCGACCACGCTGCCTCAAGATCTGCGACCGATCGTCCGCGTAAAAGCGCCACGAGCGAGAAACGGGTCGCAGTCGTATGCGTCGTACTACATGCCGCCTTCTCCCTTTTACGATTCCGCATGTGTACAAACATTGCGACTCTTGCACGAAGTAAATTTTGACGGGAGTTACCTGAATTTCCGCGTGATCGAACTCTGATCGCAATACAATTGGCGATTAATTTATCCAGAAATACTAATGCTAGTTAATTGAATCCACAGGTGTCCAATGTAGACTTCTTTCAATGTAGAACTAATTTTAATTTTGGTTTAACTGATTTGTTATCTTCCTTTAACTCTAATGTCCTCATTTTTACTAATGTAAATTAATATTCACTTTTAATTTACTTTCTATCTCTTTATAATTCAATGCAGATGACAACATTAATCTGCATTGAAATGAACAATTAGAATTAAAAAAAAAAAAAAAACAGTAAATTAAATAAAAATAAAGAGTAAATTGATATTAAATCGATGTACATTTAAATAGATAAATGGCCAAATTCCGATTAACGTAATCGTTCACTTATACATTTCATTAATGCATAAAATTTATTAATTGCTTGAAAAAGAGACTGAAATTATCCTTGCCATAGGAATTAAGGCACTGATCGACGCATTCCGCAAAAATACTTCTACTTCCTTCCGCATCAATTTGAGATTTATTCTGAAATTACAAAAAAATCATTAAATCTCTAGCTCACAATTATGCCATTTCTATTAATATAGATTAATTTTACTTTCAGCTGGCCTTGCTCTCTTTTTTTTCCAATTTTTAGAATTAAAGAAAGATAAAGAATAAGTTAAGTTCATTAAAGTTTATTTATTATTAAAAATATGGACATTCATCTTTAATTAAAATGCTATTCGTTGAAAAGTAACCTTTGAAAATTCAAACTTGGACAGAAAAGCATGCAGGATGCGCGCATGCAGTGACACATCATTTTTCCTTTTGTCTTGAAACGCATCTTGATAAGCGTGCACGAAAAAAAAGCCCGTCAGCCTTCTTCCCTTCTTGATAAGACTTGCAATTTTCCATCGCGATTTATGTCCAGCATCTAATTTGACGTGACGGATCAGTGATCTGTAAATGCGAATGCGTTTTGTTTTCTGCACTCTGAGAAAAATTTTTAATTGATCTTCTTAAAAAAAGAGAGGGAAAAGGAAAGATAGGAGAGTGCGAGGACAAAGGATCCAATTAAGGGATCAATTGTGTATCTTGAAACAAGGTGAACATTTTCAAACTTTCGTTATTACGTGACTCACAATATCGTCCACCAACGTGATCAATAGAATGTCTTTCTTAATTGATTCATTTTCGACTGTAGTGGGTTTGAATCAATTTAAAATCTATTAAATTGGCTGCGTATGTTATGAACTCGGGTTCGATTAAAAATACGTAAAGAAAATAAAATACAAGTACAAGATTAAACTATCAACAAATTTGACGTAGAAAAATTTTAAATTGATTTTATTGACAATGTTTAAGCTTCCTGGGTAGTCACTGTGACCATATTGTAATTGTGATGTCACAAGACGAGAAATTAGAGCAAAGTTTATTGCAACTAATTTGCAAATAAAGAAATATTTGAGAGATATTTGATAGATAAATTTAATTTTGGTGTTTAACATTTATCTTTTTCTACTTCTAAAAATTAGAAAAAGGATAATGAGTGAATTGAAAAATTAAAATTAATCTACATCATTAATAGAAATGGACATACAAGATGTAAAAAAAAATATATTTCTAAACAAAAATAAATCCATTCTCATATACACAAACCAAAAATAGATAAAGATGTAAGCAGTCATTTTCGAAGATAAAAGATCTTTATTTATATTCATCATTTGCATTTAAATTAAATGTGTATTCATTATATTAAATTATTTCCAAATTTTTCCAAATTTATTTAGTCCAAATCTTAGCGTCCGTCTACCATGCCTCGTTTTGCAATATTAAAAATAACATGCAAGTAAAAAATGTTTCTCTCCAGTCCGAGTAATTTGGAGCAACACGATCGCGTGTTGCAAATTGTGGACTCATTTATCGGTGAACTCGACTCGAGCATGATGTCAAAATCGATCGAATGGCCGGAGCCTTCCGGGTGGTCCGCTGCTGAGGGGGGGGAAAGGGAAGGGAGAGCTCTGAACGTCGCGGCATACGTTTATGATTCGATTGCGATTAATTGCAAAAGACGATTGGTATTTGGCATGAGTGTGACGTTCGTCGCACGTCATCACGCTGGCCGTCACGTGATTTCATTGGTTCGCGATATTTTTGCTGCAATGCGAAAATCGAATCGTATCCTATCGAAATTATAGCAGGTTTGGGTAAATTAATATAATTTTTTAACTAAATTAAGTTGATGGCTTATAAAATTAATTTAGTTGCGTTAAAAGTTACATGAAAACTAATTCAGTTAAAAATTGCGTTAAATAGTAGATTAACTTAAGTTAAATTAAAAATTAATTTTAAAAAGCATTATTTATATTAAATTAAAATATAAGTTTTTACAATTAAAATATTCTAAATAAAAAATAAATTATAATAAATTATAATAATAAATTATAATATGGCTCATCAAATAAATTTAATATTTTATCTGTAAATTAAAAATAACTAGTTGAAGTTATAAATTAATTCACTTAAAATTAAGTTAAGTTAAAAGTTATTAACTGTTTAACTTTATTTTTATTTATTAAAGTTTTTAACGTTTAACTTTTTAACTAATTACTACTCAACCCTGGATTGTAGTAATCGATATTAGATCTCAATTTCACGCTCGATTAAAGGAATCGTATGCAAGAGAGTGACAAAGAGAAAAGAAGAGAGAGAGAGAGAGAGAGAAAGATGGAAAGATTTTTTATTTATTATATAAAAAATCAAAAAAATTGGAAGAAAAAGATCGCGGATCACGTTTTCGAAGTTATGTCTTTTAACAAATTGAATTTTAACGAATAGATTTCCATTTTTTATTTGAAATACAACATTTTTATAATTATTATAAAGACCTTTGAAACCCCACATTATTAATATTAATTTTTATAAATATAAATTAACCTTACTCTCGGTTCCATTTTTATTCTTTATCTTTTTTAATTCTTAAAATTATAAAAACGAAAATAAGAAAGCAAGTTAAGCCGAGATTACAATTAATCTATCATTTGTAGAAACGGACATAGAAAAAGAATTCCCGCAATAATCAAAGAGAACTATATTCATATCAGGGGAAGAGAATTTAAGAGCAAAAGGATTGAAAAGAATTGTCATAACGCAAGTTTAAGAGATGAGTTTAGAGAGAAAACCCAAAAGACTCGAGATTCTTTGTGGAGATATCGAAATTGATAAGAATGAATATATAATTAATATACGATCCGTTATAAATTCGAAAATCGGAATCGCGTATCCTCTCAAAGTGTCGCGCCGAAATCTTCTCCCCCTCCCCCCGCCCTGCCGTCCTCAAACCCCTTCAGGGTCTGTCACATGCGGCGTAACCTGCGTAAACTAACT